AACCCGCGAGAGTTCAGTCAGCGACTCCGCCCATCGACGCAGCGTCGTCTCCGGAAACCCCGCCTAGCGACGCGGCGACGCCTCTGCCGACCACGCCCTCCTGCCACCGAAAGAGAGAGTCAAGCGGAGGAGTGCATCCGCCCCTCCTGCCTGAAGCAATAACAGCAACAGTGACTCCCGCGGCAGCAGTTCAGCCTACAACAACATCAACTCCCGAAAAAGCATCTTGCCCTGCAGCCACGGTCAGCCAGGCAGCTGATGAGCGAGATGTTGTCACCAGTCGCATTCGTGCTTGGACGGAATTACAACGGCTATACAAAGAATCTGAGATGGAATCTGATGAAGCTATAATTTCAGGGCTCTGGGCAAAGGAACATCGTCGTCCTCCGGATTCTGCTTAACCCAATGGTGAACCAACCCGTGAGTAATCTTCTGCGTCAGTTGTCATGACTGCGTATCCTGATGGAGCCAAGATTATCCAGTGATCGGGAACGTCGACACCCGACGGAGGCTCAAGGCGCAAGACATCATGAATCCGACCTTCCATCATTGCCACAGAGAACACCAGAGGATCGATACATGTTTGGATTTCTCCTACAGCGTTCTGGACTCAATAAGCGGCAACTTCGGATTTTAGGGGACGCAGGCCAATGGCAACTATCCTATGAGTTAGGTTTCCATTATTTAGAAGAGCTAGACGAGGGTTCATCAACAATGTCATCCAATTGAGCCATAAAAATTGTTTAAGTTTGTTGAATAAGATCATTAATCTGTTGTTTTTGAGAGTTTTTGTTTACAGATCCGAGATTCAGAGCACATGGCGAAGAGAAGCCCTGAGAGGGATAACATCGTGAAAGAAGTGGGGGCCTGACGTACGACTTCGCCATGATGCCCACTGAAGCCCTGATAGTGCAGTTTTGTTATGAATCAGATTATGTGTTTGTGTCGATTATTGTTTCTTGATTATTATGTAACTCAGTTCCAGGACAGCGAATTTTATGTTTGTTTATTTGTTTGTTTGCTTATCTACTCGTTTGATGACTCACGACAAGGCTCTAGATATGAGTGTATAGCATAATTTAGCTATGCTCTCAGCAAGGGGGGATGTCACAACCCAAAGTTGTGGTTTTTTGTTTTTGTGTGCTTCGGCACCGCTAAATTATGTTCCCGCCAAATTGCA